GGTATTGTGAGAACGCTCACTAATGTTAGACATGTTCCTGATTTGAAAAAGAATCTCATCTCTTTAGGCACCCTAGAGGCTCTTGGGTGTAAATACATAGCTGAAGGTGGAGTTATGAAAGTTTCTAGAAATGCCCTTATTGTTATGAAAGCTTGTAGGTCTGGTAGCTTGTATATTCTGCAGGGAACTACTGTCACAGGTTCAGTTGCAGTTTCGTCATCATCATTGTCTGATTCTGACATCACCAAATTATGGTATATGCGTTTGGGTCATATGAGCGAAAAAGGTTTGAGCATATTGAGCAAAAGAGGTCTACTTTGCGGACAGAGTACTGGGCCACTGGACTTTTGTGAACACTGCATTTTTTGAAAGCAGAAAAGAGTCAGCTTCAATTCTCCGGCAGTTCACAAAACGAAAGGTACTCTTGACTATATTCATTCAGACCTTTAGGGTCCAGCTCAAGTTCAGTCTAAGGGTGGTGCCAGGTATATATTGACTTTCATTGATGATTATTCCAAGAAAGTTTGGGTTTATTTTCTGAAGCATAAAAATGATGTTTTTCTAACCTTTAAACAATGGAAGGCTTTGATTGAGAAGCAAACATGTAAACAGATTAAGCGGCTTCGAACAGATAATGGCATGGAATTTTGTGAAGGTGATTTTGAAGAATTCTGCAAAAATGAAGGAATCGTTCGGCATCGCACTGTTAGGATGACGCCTCAGCAAAATGGTGTAGCCGAACGTATGAACAGAACGCTCTTGGAGAGAGTGAGGTGTATGATCTCAAATGCAGGGTTGACAAAAGACTTTTGGGCAGAGGTGATTAATATGGCCTGTTACGTTGTCAACCGCGCTCCTTCTGCAGCACTTAACTTTAAAACTCCAGAGGAAGTTTGGTCAGGTACTCCTGCTGATTATTCTGATTTTAAAATTTTTGGATGTCCTGCATACATACATGTAAATGAAGGAAAATTAGAGCCTCGGGCTAAAAAGTGTATTTTCCTTGGGTATGCTTCTGGGGTGAAAGGATACAGATTATGGTGTTCTGATCTCAAATCCCCAAAATTTATAATCAGTAGAGATGTTACTTTCGATGAATTATCTATGTTATCTTCCAAAGAGGATTCTACTAGTTGTATAAATGATAGTGCGCAGAAGCAGGTGGAGCTTGAGATTGGGAGTTCAGATTCCTTTAAGTCGAACTCTTCTACTCAAAGAATGCCAGTAGGTGGTCCTGAGTCTACTTACGCAGATGATCCAGAGGAAGAGCAATATTCCATAGCCAAGGATAGACCACGGAGAGATATTCGACCACCACAAAGATATGCAAATTTGGTTGCATATGCTTTGTCTGTTGCAAAAGAGACAAGTGAAGTTGGTGAGCCTACTACCTATTCAGATGCAATTTCTTTTGATAATTCCGCTAAGTGGTTGATTGCTGAGGGAAAGGTCCTTGTTCAGAAAATTTATACGAAAGACAATCCAGTTGATATGCTTACGAAGCATGTTCCGGTTTACAAGTTCAAGCAGTGCTTGGACTTGGTTGTTAGTTTGGCAAGTCTCATAGTCCCACATCGGGAAAATTAGACTTGTTGTCTCATCTTGGAACTATAAATAAGGGCCTGGGCTTTAAAGTCAGATGTACCACAGGCAGCACAAGAGACACCACAAGAAGTACAGTAGGCATCACAAGAAAACCTGCTTATGGTTTGAAGTCTTCTTGTTTAGGAAGCTGAAGGTGTTTTATGGCCTAGGAACATCTTCCTAAGGCATTTGTAAGTGTCCCTCTTTTATAGTAGTGATTTGCTCCTCCTTCGTCCGTGGATGTAGGTCAATTGACCGAACCACGTATATATGGTGTTCTGGTGTTCTTGTCGCTTTTATTCTTTCCGCTTTATTGTCTTTGTTGTGTTGCCAAAATTACCTTGTGGTAAATATCCTGGGGCTAGCTCTAACACTTAGATTTTAAAACATGGAGTGGGAACCAGGCAAAAAGAAACCTTTTTTATAGCAAGATTAATCTACATAGAATTATTATATTCTAGAGCTTGAAACTAAGAGAGAAGTTGCTCTCATGATCTAGCTTGATGATTTTTAATTGGAATATAATCTACTTGAACATCCTCATCAAAGCCCAATATATTTATATCCCATAATGCTTATAAGTCTTAGCCAAGTGATAGTTTATATCCCATAATGCTTATAAGTCTTAGCCAAGTGATAGCTCCGTTTATATCCCATAATGCTTATAAGTCTTAGCCAAGTGATAGCTCCATTTTGTGATACGTCCTCTAATCTCATCCACGGGTAGCTCTCTACTCAAGTCTCTCATCATGCTTTAGCGCTGAGTGAACTCTTATATCAATTGTCATAATCTATCTTGATAGAATAATTAACCTATTAATTTTATTAAGTCTGAACAATTAACTCGAAATGCTTAAATTAGAACCTTACAAATCAATATTAATTTTTTACTCACTTCTAGGACTAATTAGAATATGACACAACATTCAACCAAATCTCTAATATTTGAATTCGTAGTTCGTTATGCTATATTACATAATTTTTCTGAAGACGAGCATCGATATCAACTTTTGTAAGATCTAAACTGAAAACCTCATGTCAAGATTTATAATCTATCACACGTTGTAACTTAAAATGGCATACAACACATCCTCTACAAAAAAACGCTGACGCAAATGCATAATGTGTCAAAACACAACCGACATTGGCAGCACAACTTTATGCTGCAGCAAAACAAAGAATTGTTCATAAAGAACACTGGCTTTTAAGTTCTAATCTCTTTGGGAGGTTCCATTCAGTTCTTTGTAAATCTTTCCAAGACATCAAAGTAGTCAGGGAAAGTCTTTCTTGTGCAGCCTGGATCCCTGATCGTGACAGGAACATCAGCACAAGCAGCTAAAGAGAATGCCATCGCCATCCTGTGATCGTCATATGTGTCGATTGCTGTTACATTCAATTTTTCTGGGGGAGTAATGATACAGTAGTCAGGGCCTTCTTCCACTGTTGCTCCCAACTAATTCAACACATACAAACCAAGAACACGTTAGAAAGTGAAGCAATATATCCAAGTCACATGAAACATCAAACTTTACTAACCTTTCGAAGTTCTGTACAAATGGCTATCATCCTTTCGGTCTCCTTAACTCGCCATGAAGCCACTAACACCACAAGGTCAAAACAAATTATATGCGGTGTTTCTGCAAGACACTACTGCATGGAGCACAACTATAAAAGAAAACTGAAACTAACCATCTCTTATGGCTGTCGGGCCATCGGCAAACAGTGCAACAACAGCGAGAGTCATGGCAACATCAGGCATCTTATTCATATTGACATCAATGCCATGCAAATGTTTCTTCTTGGAAGGATCCTGTGGTGGGCCAGTAACAGTCACACTATTCTCGGTCCATGATACCTTTGCTCCCATTTTTTCGAGAACTTCAGCAAATTTCACATCACCCTACATTCAAAGGAAAAATAAAAGATGATAAGAAACAACACAAGGCACAGCCTATGTGCTTAAAGATCAGAAAATTTTGTGAATCCAGATTTACTTGTAGACTGGTTGTACCACAACCTTCCACAGTGACGGTGCCGCCAGTGACGGCAGCACCTGCTAAGAAATAACTAGCACTTGAAGCATCACCTTCAACATAGGCACTTCCTGGAGACCTATCACAAGAAAATATATTAAATGATAATAACATGATCTTTTATATTCCTGTATTAACTGGAATCATCATCAATCTGGAAACTTACGTATACTTTTGAGCACCCTTGATGAAGAATTTGTCCCAATTATCAGTATGCTCAACCTTAACTCCAAAACGTTCCATCAGTTTCAGAGTCATTTCTACATAAGGAATGGAAATGAGCTTATCAATGATCTCAATCTCCACATCTCCACGAGCTAGGGGAGCTGCCATGAGCAAAGCAGTCAAGTATTGGCTGCTAATGGAACCTGAGAGTTTCACCTGAAGAAAATGATATAGAAATGAAAAAAAAGGTCCTGTCATAAAACTAAGAAAATGAAACTAAATACATGGATATACTCCAGAAACATATAGGCAAGTTTGCATTTCCAAAAGCTAGAAAATTGCAAATTAAAATTATTTGTGCAAATATTTTAATTCAGTATATATATACATTCTTTTTTCTCCATTTCTTGGTTACAACAGAATTTGCACAAAAAGATCTCAAGTAACAGTGGCCTATACACTAAGAGTTCTGAGCTGTTGAACAACAGATGCCTGATTTTACTTGATTTATGTCCTGCAAGTACAACAGAGTACCTTCAAACAAGACTCAGGAAAAATGACCATTGGAGCAACGTCCTCCAGGATAGAGAAACTCCTAAATCTGGTACTTAAATCCAGATGAAAATGTCCAATGTAAAATCAACATCTAAGAACTGTAGTGACCTGAAGTATAAACAAATGCTTGGACTAAAGCAAAAACTAGCCATGTAGAGTAATCCTTGAATGTAGTTTACGTAGTAAACCACTCCAAAAGAGTCCAATTCCTGCACTTTTAGATATTTCAATAGTTTTCTATGTTTTGGGTTTATCATCTGTATTTACATTCTTCTGGGTTTAGTTTCAATATCATTGGTGATCACAGATTCAATTTCAGTTTTAAAGTACTAAAAGAATCTAAAATAATGAGTTTCATAAGAATCAGTCATACTCTAGAATGACTTACCCAATCCACAGCAGAAAACTTTACTGAGTTATGGACTTAGACCAGTTGATCCTATTCAAACTTGGTAAACAAAATCAAGATTGGCCAACACTAAGCTGAGTAGCATGAACAACTTACAAGTTGTTGTGATGAGCTCAGAACTTCATTTTTATCTCTTCCTTTTCCGATTGACCAAAACATATTGGATGATATCCTTGTGGTTTTAATTATCATGCCACAAAAAAGTTAAAATAATATTATATTATGTGTAGCTAAACAAAAGCCGAAGTGCAAGTAGCCCAAGAGAAAGGCATTTATACAGCAAAATGCTAGACCCAAATGGACATGTAAGAAATTGATATCAAGAAAAATTTAGCTATCTAAATGGCGGTGTTCCTTTTGATAATTACATTCTTTTAGAATCTATGACCAAAAGAGGCTTCTTCAATGACATTAGAAACCAATAATCTGATATACTAAGATGAAGCTCCAAAACATTTCAAGATGATTCCTATTATGCATGAGCTTTTGCTATAGATATCCACTTAATGAAGAGAAATGAGTCAACAGATTTCATTAGCTATTGCACATTGGTTTTGAAAGACCATAATTTTGTTGGTTTCTTGGCTATGAGGGCCTAAAGTTATTTCAGAGATACTCCTTTCACATTGATCTTAACTTCTTGAATATGCATACTTTTGGTACTTTGACTGAAATAGCTTTCAATGATGATGGCATAGGCTATGTGATAAAATGCCTTGGGTGATAAACAAGATCCCTATACATATAGGTTTTGAAAGACATTTTTTAGTAAAATAGCTTTCATAACTTTTTCCATGATGATGGCATCTGCTATGCAATCTAGTTGGCTGATAAAATGCCCTAGTGTGCTAAAATATCTATCTGGCTGTGGTTTCCTTTAAGAAAGCCTACTTTTGTTTAAAACAGAATGTAATGTTCTTAAATAGATAGAAATTAGCAACTCATTGGATTTATTTTCTTAATATCATGTCTTTGTTATTTAAATTCTTCAATGAATTCTACAACATGGTTTTAAAACCATACCATACCATCCGGTATAGGCGGTACATACTGGCCTGCCTGCAGACCAATACGTGGATTGCCCGCTACCGGGCGGTATCAATGATCCAATATGGGGTCGTACTGGACGGTAATGGTCAAAATCAACCATTACCAGTTGTAATAGTGCTCTAACGATCAATTTAACCTTTAGAGCCCTTCTCAAGGGTTTTTAAACCCTTTCTCCTCCCGAATTTAATCCATTTCACTCTCTCACTATCTTAAACTTTCTCAGACTCATTTATTCTCACATTTTCTCTCTTATTCTCACATTTTCACTCTCCTAAACTCAACAAAGCAACGATTTATGAATTAATTCAAATTTAGGAGGCTAATTTGGGAGAATTAAGAGGAAGAACTTTCTAATCAAGATGTATGTATTCTCTTTCTAGATTTTTATTTATTTATGAAATGATTAAGCCTATTCTATGTGATGTATGACTTAATGTCTAATATGTTGTTTGATATGTTTTTAGTAATAGAATAATGTTAATAAGGGAGTAATTAAAGTATTTAATGTTGTGATTAGTGTGTTTAATATTAATTTATACGAAATTATATACTTAATAGGTCAAATGTTTATATTTCATGCATATTAAGTATTGGATCATGTGTTTGTGATGGTATAATAGGTTTAATTAGGTTTTCATAAAGTTATTTAATGCTGTGATTAGTGATTTTTAATGATGATTTCATCGAAATTTGATCAATATTAGGTCAATTCAATGTCTTTAATACCTATTAGGGTGTTTGACATGTTTATAGTTTTGAAAGAGAAGTAATTAGTGGATAATTAACTATGTTAATCGTGTGATTAGTATATCTAATGATGATTTCATCGTAATTTGACCTATATTAGATCAAAATTATGTATTTAATGAACCTACACGACAAAGACATAGAACGAAACTCATCGTATTCACAGTCATTGTATTATGAAGAATCTTACGGCCAACAGTAGTACGATGATAGTTGGTCATACTTCTCCGAACAACAGTATGATACAGAGCAGCAGATCAATAGCAAAAGTAAAAGTTTTGACATTCACCAATACATGCATGATGAGCCGCCTCGGTCACGTGATTTACGACCATCAACCTACGACCATCACCTCATTGATGCACCAATAGCATATGGTGTATCAATACACTATGTCGTGGGATCAAAATCTGTATTGAGTCCGACAAGCATATCATATTAATATGCAAATATATAGGATCGAGGACCCCAATCCACCACTCATGGAGTTCGTTCGTTTTGGTAGTAGAATCAAGCATATCTACATATGTGATTTCTTAATTCATTTGAATATTAAAATTTAAGTTGTATACAAAATAATCTAACAATACAATTAATTTTTCTGTAGATAATTCAATATTAACAGAAGGATGATCCAGAACAGACCGAAATTGCAAATCTTGCACAAGGCTACTCTTCAAAGCCCGAAAAAGATATGTGACACTATTCTTACCTAATTTACATTAGTTTTGCTTAAACTATGCTAAATATATATTTATTTTTAACTTAAAAATCTTATCTTAACTTTTTTTTATTTTTTAAATATTTTCGGAGAGTTTTATGCCCTTTTTAGGTGTACCGCTTGGTACCTCTTACCGTACCGTACCAAGCAAAGACACTGATACGATATAGTATTTAGAACCTTATTCTAGAGTATGAAGTAATATAAATTTAAGGGATTCCTTTGTCTACAATTGATAGAATATCTCAAGATGGATAATTTTTTTTATATGATTGGAATCCAATGTTTGAAAATCAAGATTATTTATGACAGCAAAACAAGATGCAAAAGTATCATGACTTGGTCAGTGGAACTTGGAGTGAAGTTCTAAGATTAATACCATAGTATTGGCAAGGTGATAACTATGAATTATTTTTTGTCATGCATATTAGTTCCCCGTGCAACATGTCAGGTAAATATTGGGATGTACTAGGTCAGTATTAAGATTACCCAACTAATTTCATAATATATTTTTCCATCATCCAATTTCAAATGAATACTATTAAACGTAATTTTCTCTATTAATTCAACATGAAATAAGATAACTGTTTAGTTCTTCTCAAACACCACCCCAAATTAGTCAACATTAGCTATTAGAGAAAACCATAACAAAACGACCTCAAGACAAAGTTGGCCTGTTTACACCTTCACTGGCTATTTAACTAACGGTGAGCACTATTATTATAGCATCTTTTTTCCCCCGCTACATGTCTATATAATTTGCTTAATTTTATGGATCACTTTGGAAAGAGAATAAACCCTAACCATTCAACATTTGTTTCATCTTTTTTTCCATAAGAAGGCACAAGCTCTTAGACAGTTATCATATGTAAAGACAAAAACAAATAACACTTTCTTATCAGGTTTAATTAACCAGATATAATATAAAGGAAAAGAGAGAGAAGCACTGATACACAACACAAA